CCAGCAGCAGCATCTAGCGTTGGTGCCGCCAACAAGACTCCGACACCGGCGTCTGGTGCCGCCAACAAGCCTCCAGCAGCAGCATCTAGCGTTGGCGCCGCCAACAAGACTCCGACAGTGGCGCCTGGTGCTGACGCGGCCGACCAGCCTTCGGCAAAGGCGATCAACAGGCCTCCAGCAGCTAGTCCGTCGAAGCCGACACCGGAAGAAATTTTGGCTGATCTTCGGAAGGAGAAAATGCCGCGGCAATCCATGGGTCTGTCGCAGCCAGCTTCGGCTTCGGCATCTTCAGGTCCTGTCAAGGAAACATCGACGAAGCAGCCTCTTGCGTCCACCAAGCAAGATTTGGCCGGCGACGGTACTGCTGCTGCAAAAGAGCCTGTTGCTGATCCTTCCAAGAAATCTCCGAAGGGAGACGGTGCTCCCAGTGGCGCAGCCACGAGGAGCGCCGCTGATGTCAAATCTCCAGCTTCTAGTTCGAATGCGACCGCAGGCGCTGCGAGAGGTGCTTCTGCGAGCAGACCTGGACTTTCGGAGGTAAAGTCTGGAGAAGTAAGCGCGAAGACCGGTGCGTCCTCCGGTAGCAACGTTGCTGTTGCCGCTTCTGCCACTGCTGTTGCCGCTTCTGCCGCAAGCGCTGTTTCTGAAAGTAGTAAGAACTCCAACGAAGGGGGCGCCGCTAGTGCCAAGACTGCAGCGTCAAACGGAAGCGTGAGTGTCATCGAAACTGGTAATAGTCGTGCGTCCGAAAATGAAACTTCTGCCGCTGGAGGAAGTGGAAACGCTGCAGACAACCCTGGGCACACTGCTGCTCCCGCCACCGGCAAGTCTGGCCCCGGTACAGACGTTGCAGGTCTCGCTACAAGCAAACCTGTTGCGAATGCTGGAGCTCCCAATGCAAATACCGCTGCTCCCAGTGCAAATGCCGCTGCTCCCAGTGCAAATACCGCTGCTCCCAGTGCAAATGCCGCTGCTCCCGCTACGAGCAAACCTGTTGCGAACACTGGAGATGTTGGTGCAAATGTCGCTGCTTCCGCTACGAGCACTGGAGTTGCCGCTGCAAGTACTGCTGCCTCCCCGGCTAGCAAACCTGTTGCGAGCACCGGAGCCCCAGCTGCAAGCACTGCTGCTTTCGCTACAAGCAAACCTGTTGCGAACACTGTACCTGTTGGTGCAAGTGCCGCTGCTTCCCCGGCGAGCAAACCTGTTGCGAGCACCGGAGGCCCAGCTGCAAGCACTGCTGCTTCCCCGGCGAGCAAACCTGTTGCGAGCACTGGAGCTGCCGCTGCAAGTACTGGAGCTGCCGCTGGCACTCCGGTGCAGCAATCTTCTCATTCTGCTAGGCGAGACGGCGGAATCGGTGCAACAACTGGCCAGCCCGAATCGGGAAGCAGCGTTGCGCAGAAGAAAGCACAGTCGAGCACAGCTGCGCCAACAGGTAGCCCTTTGCCTCTACCCATTCCTCACGGTAAGCCAGCCTCTTTAAGTCCTGGAGGTAGCGTTGATCCTGTTTCTAAACCACAGCCAGCTTCTTCGAATGGTACACGAACGACGGGAGCTTCTACTGGTGGAGCCGCACCTCCTCCACAAGAAGCTACATCACCAACGACGGGAGCTTCTACTGCTGGAGCCACACCTCGCGCCCCCAAAGCTGGCGGACCAGCGACGGGAGCTTCTAGTGGTGGAACTGCACCTCGCGCCCCCAAAGCTGGCGGACCAGCGACGGGAGCTTCTAGTGGTGGAACTGCA